TATATATATATATATATATATATATATATATATATATATATATATATATATATATATAAAATATACAGTATGTCACCAACTTACGGTTCTGCTTGAGTGAGACTACTTCATGGCTTTTGGGCATCCCCTTATTTTGAAATGGGAAAGTAAGAAGTTCTTGCTCAAAGTTACATATAAACCTTATACACCTAACACAATGAAATGCGCTTATAAATGTCTGTCAGATTGTTTCCACACACCACATTGGAATGCGCTCATAAATCATACAAAAATGCGCTCATAAAGTACACTCAAATCTTTCCACACATCCTTATGAAAGGCTCTCATGCACACTATTGATTTTTTTTTGGGGGGGGAACATTTGTTAAATTTATTTATTAAGACATTATTTTGATAGATGTATAGATTGATAGATAAGCCATGAAAATCAAAAGACGACCTTGAAAAAAAATGATCCCATATTTAATCACAATCACTGTATTGGGGGGGGCAATCGCAATTAGAATATTTTTCAAATTTGTTCCGCCGTAGTTTTAAATACGCTTAAAGTGTGTGGTAGTGCCCTGTAGTGAATCTACAAAAGGTGTTTTTTTCTAATAAACATGGTCCAACTATAATGCAGATTTTGACCTATAGAAGGTGGGTCAGGAAAGTACCCCCTGCGATAAACAGGGGCTCACTGTACATTCACATGATACTGACTTATGCATTTTTGTGTCCTTTGCTTCATCAAAGGTGGGATTCATCACCGCTTCCCAACATGGAAATGATGACTGGAAATGCTTCTTCAGCTGCCTGGAGATGACCTGCCACCCTTTTGGGAATGGTCAGAATGGGGCCAGATGTGCCCCTTCTCAATGAGTACAAGCAGGAGTTCTTCTGGAAGCGCTTCCCCCAAACGGTGTTGGGGGGTCCGCGCTTCAAATTGGGCTACTGCGCTCCACCGTACGTCTATGTCAATCAGGCCGTGCTTTTCCTGACACCATGGCTTTTCGGGGGCGTCAGCACGCTCCTCTGCCAGTTGCAGCTTCTCCAGGAGCTGCACGCCGCCATGCTTTCCGGCGCGCTGATGTTTGCGGCAGCCGCCGCCGTCCAGGCAGTGGCGTTGTATGCCGGGCGACGGAGCGGTGCCGTGGAACGGCTCGGAGCACCCAACACCCTCGTGGATGAAGAGGAAGTGGAGTTTACTCACTGCGTCAGCCCAGAGACGGTCCGATTCATTGCTCCTGGGAAGATATTTGGGCTGAATGTTGTGATTCATACGGTACTAGCTGGACTTCTGTGTGCTTTCGGGACATGGTATGTGCTACTTGGCAGACTGACCGCTCTGTACGGTAGCATAAGTGTCTCCCTGGTCGTTTTTGTCCTAAGTTGGGTGACTGTGTGCATTGCGGAGTATTCCCTGGTTGTGAATACAGCCACAGAGACTGCTACTTTCCAGGCGCAGGACACTTATGAGATTACCCCACTCACTCGACCCATCTACATTTTCATTTTCATTGTTGTGGACTTGACTGATAGGTAAGTAAATTGGAACGAGCTAATGCCGTTGACTCGCTCAAATCCATTGGTGACATTTTGATGTATTCGATCATTTTTAGGTTCTCTGGCCCAGTTCCGGAGCTCCAACTTGCCAGCCAGGTTCTTCATGTGCTTTTCCTCTTCCTACCTCTGCTGTGGGCACTGGGAATACTACCTCCCCTCGATGCCTTGTTCCTCTGGGGCATGGAGCAGGTGCTTGTGTTTGGATTAGGAGGCTCCCCCATGTCCAGCAACTTCAGGTTTGTGTTGAAAAAATGAACCACAGTGGCGTGAACTCCAATTTAGTGTCAGGGATACATTTTAGACCCCAGAAGATGGTAAAATCCATTATATACAGATTGTATTTTAAAAGAAAAACGTTTTGCCCACTTTCGACACATTTAATCTCATTGAAAGACACTGAACACGTTTTTTTAATTTCTCACTCCCAATTAATAACAATTAAATATTAATAACAGAGACACACAAATCCCCCCCCCCATTTCCCCCATATCATCCGCGATCAACTTGGGACCAGCCCGAGCTACCGATCAATCGCGACTGGTTGGTCACCCCTACTGTAGGTGGTACCACAAGATAAATTTCAGTACCTTCACTCAACTTTGTGCATGTGTGTTTTTTGTGCCCTCCCTCATCATAGGTTGCTTTTGATGTTTGGCGTTTCTGCTGGCGTAGCTGTGTGCAATTACTTTATCCCATCAACACTGGGAGTCGTCCTCTTCTCCACCGCGACGGGATTCCTGCTGAGCCTGGATCTCAGCCAGGTTGGCGCCCTCTGCAATGCTCCCAAGGCCCACTGCAAGGACTACGGCCCGCGCAGAGGCAGGTCTCCGCCGCCGCCTCTTTCCAACACCTTTGGCTGGAATCTGGGCTGCAGGGAGGTGGTGATGTATGCGTGCCTGTTGTTGGCGGCACTGGCAGAAGCTGGCCTGTTGCATCACTTCCACAGTTCAGCTCAGTCCCACAGTTTGGTCAGGGGACCCCAGGCTCCTGTCAGCTACCTCCTCCTGGTCCTCTTCTCCCTCTGCTGGCTTCTCAGAGAGATCCAAGGGGCCTATGTGTGCGCCGGCTTATTCCTCAATCCGGTGTACCCGAAAGGCATGTCCAGTGTGCAGACTTTCGAACAGAAGAACAGAGGCTTATTCATTGCAGCAGCCATCAGAAGAGTCCTCCTTTATCTTGGTGAGATCATGTCTCTTGCATCTATTGTCCTCCAGAGCAAAGCTCGGGAATTACTGACGCTTTTCTATGTGTAACCGTTTATATGTGTGCGTTCCCAGTGTCTCCGTTTGCATTGATTGCTTTCCTGTCTATGGACAAATCCCTGCAGCAGCTCCATGGGGTTCCTCTCAGTGTGGGATTCGCACGAGCTTTCAGAGTGGTAGGCACACAAAAACAAGAGAAATATTTCTTACTTATGTTGACTTTTTATTCATAATGAGCACAGATATGTTTTTCAAAGGAAAATTGCAAAAAAATCTGTTTGGTGTGGGTTTTTTTCTTTCACCAAAAGCAATTCTTCTTTGCTTTAGTATATCTGGTCTACATGGTATTTGTTGCATGCTCACTTGCAGGCATGGCAGAGCTCAGAGGATGCTTTATTGCAAATGGTCGTGGTCGTCATTGTGCGTCTTGCAGCCGGAAACAATAGGCTGCCTGGGTGGGACAGCCTCGGCACGGGGGTGCAGCTTCTGCTGGTGAGGACAAGTTGTTATTTACAAACCCAATTCCAATGAAATTGGGACGTTGTGTTACGCATCAATAAAAACACAATACAATAATTTGGAAATCATGTTCTATCTCTATTTAACTGAATACACTAGAAAGACAAGATATGTAATGTTCAAACTACTAACTTTATGTTAATTAACTGTCATCGAAATTGGGTTTACACTAAAAATACTGTCGGCGACTCGGAATCAGTGCATAACGCCGGTGATCATGCGACCTTTACAGGTTGGCCTTCTGATGGATCGACTGACCCAGTTCCTGGCCAAGTTAAAGTTCACCCTCACCGTGTTGGTGACATCTTGGACTGAGAAGAAGCAGCGGCGTCAGTCGGCCGGAACCCTCCTTGCGCTCAACGCCTCCCTCTGCCCGCTGCTGTTGGCTGTGGTGACCCTGTCTGCCCTGCTCTCTGCCCCCTTACTCCCCCTCTTCACACTACCCATCTTCCTGGTGGGCTTCCCCAGGCCTCAGCGCAGTTGGCCGGGGCCCGTCGGTACTGCCTGTCCGTGCCCAGACTCCATCTTCTACCAGCAGATGAGTGGAAGTCTTGCCTCTGCCCTGAGGACGGCCTTTGCAAGAGGATCGCTGGGTTAGTAATGCATGCCTCCTATCCTCATTTAAAGGGGGGGGGGGGAGACATCCATCCATTATCCGAACTGCTGATGATGCTCGCGAGGGTCGCATCCAGTGAATTATTCATCGTTGGCATTTGCTCAGTGAGTGCTACAAAATGTTCATTGACAACACATTAGCTTAAACATATTTGACTGCCAATTATTAGTTATTGTCATTTAGAATACAGTTTATCAATCTAAAATCAAGTGCCCAGGACAAATGCTACTTCTGTCCAAGGCTTTAAAGCTAAAGGCATTAGCAAACGAGTTTGGACATGCAGTCTGATGACTTGAGTCGTTTAAAATGAATATTGGGAGCATACAAGGCATCAGTCACAACAGGTACACTTGCACAATCAAATGAAATATACTGATTTGCCATATGTGAAGGTATTTAAAAATATTTTGGCTACCTTATTTGGTCCACAAGTGGGGCACAGCAGACTTGTCGCGAATTTCTGCACCACAGCAAACTACCCAACATCCCCTCACACTCACATTCGCACCTATGCATTTATAGACAGGGGTGCACATAAAAGTTTTGGCATTGGTCTCAGATGAGCACCAGCGGTTATTTGGTGCTCACCACAATCTGCTATTGGAAATTCAAGGACAAGCAAAGAGAGACACAAACAATTTCTAACAATCTATATTGGAGTTAGCGTGCACAAAGTGTCTGTTCTAGTTTGGTTTTGGTTCCCCGCTTCTTTCAATGCTTGTGCTCATTGTCTTGTAGGTTCTTTAGCACCAGGCTCTCACTTTCTTGGCCGCTTTCAGGACCGCATGGTTTGGATCATGATTTTGGAGAGAGGATACGGCTACTGCACCGTCAATATTAAGGTACGTTTTCTGCTTGTTTGAATGTCTGTGATACAGTTCATATAGTTAAGTCTAAAATGATTTATATTCATGTCTTAATACGCTAACATAATGAATCGTTGAAATAAAAGTGTAGTCGTTCAGGTTGAATTTTAAGAGCTTTCGCCCAAAAAATAAAAAATAAAAAGAAAGAAAAAAGAAAAGAAAAAAAATTAGGAATTGCTGCCATAATGATATTCTACCTCCATTTTCAAAGGTTCAAAAGTATTTGGACAAGGTGACATAACTGAAAATGTAGCCATCATTTTTAATACCACAATGATTTCAATAGTTAATGAGGGCTTGAAGTCCTTGGATATCACTAAATTCCAAATTTTCTTTCTAGAAAGGCTTTGCCTCTCTTTCATTGAAGTCACAAGCCAAAGAAATTGAACATTCTTCGATGACCAAATAGGGGGCCTGATCTTGCTTTTCACTCGTGTTTGAAGCAAACAACAAAATAACCACATGCTGTATTTTTTTCCCAGTGCCAAGAGTTGTCCTGCATGAAAAAAAATACCATTCAAGGATGGCACAAAACTGTTGAACTAGAAACCAACTAAAAGATACACATTTTTTTTCTCAAAATTTCCATAAAAAACAAGTCACTCAAAGTTTTGATCTTATTGAAGCACTGTCCTGCATATCATTCGTGAAAATCCACAATATAATGACCATTTAAATCTGTTTTTTAAATAGTTCTACTCCTTTCACTTGCTTTAAACACATTGTAAACAAAATTGAACACACAAAAAATGCAAGCATAAAATGTATAGCAAATCTATTGCGCTGCTGTATAAAAGGAAAATCCTCCAAATCCATTATTATCCAAATGCTTGTAGATCTAACTGTGGCTTGCTCTTCCCCCCCCCCCCCCCCCCTCAGGGTTTGGAGCTACAGGAGACATCTTGCCACACGGTAGAAGCACGTAGGGTGGATGAGGTTTTCGAGGCTGCTTTCGAGCGGCCGGAGCGTCTTGGTTTGACTCAAGGGTTGAACCTTCACTGGGCCAACGCTCTCACACCTTGCACAGCGCTGGCGGTGCGCGTCTACTCGGACGCCCGCAACGTCCTCTCGGGCATCATCGACTCTCACGACAACCTGAGGAAGCTTCAGGATGACTTTCTGAAAGCCTTGGTGTGGTTGCTCTTGCGTTATTGTGTCAAGAAGCATAAAGGCTCTATGTGGAGCTGTGACGACGGGGCGGGAATCGGGGGCCGAAAGTCGCAATCTTCCCAGCAGGCGCAGCAGACTGCATGCAACCAACCGCCTGAGGCTATCGTGGTGGAATCCAAAGTATCTTCCCTTAGATTCAGACAGGACAGCTCGAGCATGACATCCTTTGGAGACTGGTCAGATGAGGATGATCTTTTTGGACCTCAACCAGCCAGGCGGACGGTTGCCCTGGTGACGGCAGAGGCCCAGTCTGGACACACAGTGCTCCAGACGGGAGCCTCTCTTCCAGGGTCTGTCGAGATGGACAGTCTGTTTGAAAACATGGCCCTCTCGGCCCTGCAGCCATTACAGCCTTTGGGACTGGGCATCGGGATGCCAGCGGTCGACAAAGGTCACAACACGGAGATCTTCAAAGAGAGTCCCGGCTCGCTCCACCAGCTGACGTTCAGCTGCCCTCAGTCCGAGGTGTTCAACCTACCGACGGGATGGAGGACGGCGCCGATGTTAGCAAGCAGGCTGCTGCACCTCAGGCCGTTATTCCCCGAGGACTGGTTCAGGTTTGCCCTGAGCAGGTTCGGACCGGTCTTGCAGAGCGACACTTCCGAGGACATGACCAAAGCTCTAAAGGAAGACGAAACCTTGAAGGACCTCCACGCTCAGGTGGCACTCTCGTGTCTGGTGTCGCTCGGCGCTGAGTCGGCCTTCACCAGTCCCAGTTACATCTACAGGCTCTACTGTGGAGACGTGCCATGGTCAGAGGGCCTCGAATGGCTCTCCTCCAGCAAAGAACTTTATCAGCTCGCTCTTAGGGCTTTCAGGTAAAAGCCTCTTTCCTATATTGCTTTTTTTTTTTAAGCTATATATTTTATGGCGTTTTTCCAAAATGAACCCTTGTTTCGTGGGAAGGGTTCCAGACCCGCCTACAATAGCTCAACAGAAAGTCTACTACACTGTAGAGCAGGGGTCCACCAACCTTTTAGAAACTGAAAGGTACTTCTTTGGTACTTATTATTGTTAAGGGCAAGTGTGATACAGACTATTGAAATAATATGTTTGCTGAAATGACCTTTATATGTTACTATTAATAATTCCTGATATTAATTTATGCAAAGACACTGATCATGTTCATGATTTCTCACAATAATTATGAAACAGATGTTCATTTTTCGAAATATCAGTAAACTAGTCATGTGGGGTGTGTGGGGGGGGGCAACCTAGTACCCACAGGCTCCACATTAGTAAACCTTATGTAGAGAGTGAGACCATAAACTTTTTTGTTCTAGTCTTTACATGCACACTTGAAACACATTTAAAGTCATTAAATTACACTTATATTTTTGAAAAGTTTTTTTCAAGCTGTTTGTCACTCCTAGTTTACTAGTAAACTAGCACAAAATGAGAATTAAAAATGAGGAATGAAAGAGGCACACTGACATACACAGACGGTAAACTATGCACAGTATTTTCTATTTATTTGATGTTTGCTATTTTTGTGAGTGTTCAAAGTGTTTCTGCGAAGTGCAATCGTTTGAAGCATGTGATTGTGGTAAAACTATCGAAACATTTTTTTTTTAAATATTTTGGATGATTTTCAGGGTGCGTCTGGACTGTATCGCCTGGTTACTCTGTATGTACAGTATTTCTTTTGCTATTTATGCTCTAATGTGACAAACCCACTGCCGTCATTCTGTTGTATGGTTTGCGTCAGGTTTAGTTTTAAGCTCCTGTTCGATCAAGCCAGCCTTGGGCCGATGGAGTCCCCCGAGGAGATGTTCAGTACTTTGGAGGAATATGAAAGGGACTGGTACATTGGATTGGTGTCCGAGAAAGGCTGGCATGACAGCGTCCTTCAGGAGAAGCCATTCCTCTTCTCTTTAGGTCATGACCTCTCCATGGTAAGCACTCTTAACATTTCCAGCATGACGCCATACAGATCAGTAGTTGTGATAGTTGTCGTCCGCAGGGTACGTACACTGGGCGAGTGCTGTCCTTGCAGGAGCAGTTGGTGCAGGTGGGCCGACTGAATGGCGAAGGGGTGCGAGGCCAGTGGGCCAACCTGTCTTGGGAGCTCCTGTATGCCACTAACGACGATGAGGAGCGCTACAGCATCCAGGCTCACCCCTTCATGTTAAGGAACCTGACTGTCCAGGCGGCAGACCCACCTCTGGGGTATCCCATTTACTCATCAGCACCCCTTCACTTCCCCTGCCTCTGACCACTGAGGTGAGGAGCGCTTTTTTTTCTTTTTCGTTTTTTTTACTCCACCACAAGGTTTCATGTTTTACCAATGAGGATGAAAGAATAGACAACAGGGATCTTTTCCCTAGAATGATGGAATGTTGACAACTTTTTTTATGCATATATCATGGTGCTTTAGTGCATTACCACAGAGAAATACACATCAAGCTGGGAAATGCACATTTGTACTGACACAAGCCAGTTTAGATGGATACATGAATCACGATACAGTACACTGAAAATCATGATTGGAGGTTAAATTTAAACTCACAGTGGTTTGGGAGTTGATGATTTTAAAGCTTTTTTTATTTGTTACAATATTTAAATAATGACCCAACCTTTCTGCGAAAAAGGGAAACAATACAATTATTGTCAAGATATCAAGAATGTGCCTTGGGTGTGTCATGCTGTATGCTTTCAGTGCAATTTGTTTGTTTACAGTTCACTTGTTTACAACTTTTAAAATAATTGTTCAACAGTGATCATAGTATTGTACATATTGCTCATTTTATATGTATATCTGTATATAATAAAATGACTTGTAAGAAGCTGATATTTCACTTTGCACCAAACAAGCTTTGTAAAGTTAAAAAAAAAAAGTAGAATCTGAAGTCATTGGTTCAGAAAACATTTTTATAAGGTCTTGGGCTTGGTAAAGTAGGCGGAGTCTGCATCCTAGAGAAAAAAAATCCAATGAGCAGATTTGTCAACATACATGGTGTCCCCCAAAAATGTTTTCACTACAGCATTTACAACTGACCATGGCATGTATATTTTGTTTGGTATAATTCTGGGTAAAATAAATAAAAATAATTAAAGATAATTTAACAGCAAAAAAAAGTATTCTACATTAAACAAAATAAATAAATAGTACATTGTGTTGCATTGCGCCATAAGCCTGAATAGGTTAAACTTGGAGGAATGTGATGTTTGGGCATGGCCCTCAGCTGTTCCTGCCCAGCAGAGGCCACTAAACACTCTTGTCAATCACTCAGCACTGGTGGGTTGTGTGTGCGTAGTTGGCAGGAGGTTGGCGAGATTTCATCCACCCTTTTTTTTTTTAAATAGAATTAGCAAGGTCACAAACAGCTCAGGTCCCCCATCTGACAGCTCAGAATTTGTTCACGGCATGAAAAATTCTCCATTCATGGTTGTGCTAATGCAAGGTCAGCCGTACAGACTGTGGAGCAGTGCACAGTAGCAGCATGCTGATCCTTTCACGTCAAGGTCTTTTCACACAAGTAAACAGACTCAACATTGGAGTTTGAGGCGTTCGCGAGGGAAGAGCAGAACGGCTGCCTCTTTTTGAAGGGAGATGTTTAACAGAACTGAAGTTCAGACATTTGCAAAATACAGAAAAAACATATGAACCCTTTGGAATAAGATGGATTTCTGCATACATTGGTCAGAAAATGTGTTCTGATTTTCATCTAAGTCACACCAATGGACAAACACAGTCTGCTTGAACTAATACCACACAAACAATTAGAAAGTAGAATCTGAAGTCATTGGTTCAGAAAACATTTTTATAAGGTCTTGGGCTTGGTAAAGTAGGCGGAGTCTGCATCCTAGAGAAAAAAAATCCAATGAGCAGATTTGTCAACATACATGGTGTCCCCCAAAAATGTTTTCACTACAGCATTTACAACTGACCATGGCATGTATATTTTGTTTGGTATAATTCTGGGTAAAATAAATAAAAATAATTAAAGATAATTTAACAGCAAAAAAAAGTATTCTACATTAAACAAAATAAATAAATAGTACATTGTGTTGCATTGCGCCATAAGCCTGAATAGGTTAAACTTGGAGGAATGTGATGTTTGGGCATGGCCCTCAGCTGTTCCTGCCCAGCAGAGGCCACTAAACACTCTTGTCAATCACTCAGCACTGGTGGGTTGTGTGTGCGTAGTTGGCAGGAGGTTGGCGAGATTTCATCCACCCTTTTTTTTTTTAAATAGAATTAGCAAGGTCACAAACAGCTCAGGTCCCCCATCTGACAGCTCAGAATTTGTTCACGGCATGAAAAATTCTCCATTCATGGTTGTGCTAATGCAAGGTCAGCCGTACAGACTATGGAGCAGTGCACAGTAGCAGCATGCTGATCCTTTCACGTCAAGGTCTTTTCACACAAGTAAACAGACTCAACATTGGAGTTTGAGGCGTTCGCGAGGGAAGAGCAGAACGGCTGCCTCTTTTTGAAGGGAGATGTTTAACAGAACTGAAGTTCAGACATTTGCAAAATACAGAAAAAACATATGAACCCTTTGGAATAAGATGGATTTCTGCATACATTGGTCAGAAAATGTGTTCTGATTTTCATCTAAGTCACACCAATGGACAAACACAGTCTGCTTGAACTAATACCACACAAACAATTAGATGTTCTCATGTTGTTGTTTTGTTTTTTGTTTTTTTCGAACACCATGTAAACAGTCACAGTGCGGGGTGGAAAATATATGTGATCACTTAGGGTAGTTTGGAATCAGAAGTCAGCAACGAGGAGTCCAATCAATTAGATGAGATTGAAAATATTGGGTGAAGCTGCCCTGCTCCATATAAAACACACCAGTTAGGAGTTTGCTATTCACAAGACGCATTGTCTGATGTGAACCATGCCTCGCACAAAAGAGCTCTCTAAATGGAAAAAGTTCAGCGCTGTTACTACTCTAACTAGGAGTGGCCATCCTGTAAAGATGACTGTAAGAGATCATCAGAATTCTCAAGAGAGGTAAAGAAGAATCCGAGAGTGTCAGCTAAAGATTGACAAAAATCTCTGGCACATGCCAACATCTCTGTGGACGAATATACAATATGCAACGGAATGGCACTGTTCAAAACAAAACACTGAACAAGAATGGAATTTGTGGGAGGTCACCATGGAGGAAGCTACTGCTGTCCAAAACAAACAAGTTTGCAAAAGATCACCTGCATGTTCCACAGCACTACTGGCAAAATATTCTGAGGAGAGGTGAAAGATGAGTTGTTTGGAAGGAACAAACAAATGTATGTGTGGAGATAAAAAAGCCACAACACACCAACATAAAACTTAATCCAAACTGTGAACTTTGGTGGAGGGGCATCATGGTTTGGGGCTGCTTTCCTCCCGCAAGGCCTGGACATATTGCGGTTATCGAAGGAAAAATGAATTCCCAAGTTTACCAAGACATTTTACAGGGGAACTTAAGGCCATCTGTCCACCATTTGAAGCTCAACAGAAGATGGGTGATAGGCAACAGGACAATAACCCAAAAGCACAGAAGTAAATCTACAATAGAACGGTGTCAACAGAAGAAAATATGCCTTCTGGAGTGGCCCAGTCAGAGTCCTGATCTCAACCCTTTGGACATGCTGTGGCATGACCTCAAGGAAGTGATTCACACCAGTCATCACAAGAACATAGCTGAACTGAAACAATTTTGTCAAGAGGAATGGTCCAAAATTCTTCCTGACCATTGTGCAGTTATTAAATCCAAGGGTTCACTTACTTTTTCCACCACGTGCGGTGAATGTTTACATGGTGTGTTCAATAAAAACACATTCGAACATATTGTTTGTGTGATATGAGTTCAAGCAGACTGTGTTTGTCTGTTGTTGAGACTTAGATGAGGATCAGAACACATTTTACGACCAATTTACGCAAAATCCAGGGAATTCCAAAGGGTTCACATACTTTCCTTGCAATTGTATTTATGCCTGAGCTTATGCAAGTTGCTAAAGTGGCTGCTGGGTTGGATCAAGGACTTGCCCTACAACTAAACCAGCTAGATTGAAAAAGGGACGTATGTTCCACATGTTATTTATAGATACTTACCACACCAGATTTGAAATTCTGCACCCTTTTCTTGCTTAGGAGGTTTGTGACGAACCAAGCGAATGTGGGGGTGTACTGCCAGGCATAGTAGAAAGCCAGGAAGGGTTGCTGCGCAATCCACATTTCCTTGACGCTGTTGGCAATCCCCGCCAGTATTAAAGATGCACAGCGACGAGTGGGCATCTTGTGTCCCTGGTAACCAGGTGAAGTCACAGGCTGAAGAATGAATACCAGTTAGTAGATTCGAAACATTGCAAAAAAATGTTGGATTCCTGATACTTTTTTTTTTTTTTTTTTTTTACCTTGTGCAGATCTTCAGTGAAGGCATTTTGTGCTATGAATGATTGCACAGGGCCTGGACACACTGTGCTGATGAGGATATTTGGATAGTGATAGAGCTCGGTCCGAAGGGAATTAAAAAAGCCCTGGGGAAAGGGAGTTAGATAACATTTAATCAACCAGCAGGTATCTACATTGTTCAAAGCAGTTGAATGAGCCATTCTACTCTTGACATTTACTGTACTTCCTCATTTAGCGGCCTGCAAATAGTGCAAGGCGTTTATTTGAGAGATGTCCAATGCAAATTTCTTTCGACAGCCCTTAATCACAAAAGAGTCTCAAAGGAGCTTCACAAGCCCGCAGTTGACTAATATTAACATCCCCTAAGACCAAACAAACAAAAATCTATTTTTTAACCCATTAGGGGAAAAATACAAAGCATTTGGCTGTATATGAGTAAATAAACGCTCAAAACGCCACATGCCTGAAACACTTGTGCTGCTTTTGTCAGTTGTCAGATCAAGAAATACAAGGAAACCAGTTCCATTATCAGCAAAGAAATTGAAACAGCACTTCTACCTTTATCAGATTATTTTTTTTTTTACCTTGTACTATTATTATTTGTATCCAAGTACAGCGCATGAACACTTTTGCCTCCACTGTGTGCATTAGCATGAGCGCTTTGGTGACCCTCAGACAACATTTACTTCTCCATGGCACAAACAGGTAAGTCTGTATTTCCAAGCATTGTTTCAGTTAAAATGTGACCCATACTGTGATATCTCTGTTCAACTTGGAACTCACTGCACGGCATACCTGCGACGCAGTGCAGATGTGTATTTTGCCTCTGAAGAATATTTATTCAAGTCGATGACATAACACGCCGACAAATTGGTTCACAGCTAAACTATTATAACCACAATTGGAGAGAATTTACATTTCATTTCTGCACATGTGTAAACATCACCTGAAGAGCATGTTTGCTGGCAGCGTATCCTGTCGCCAGGGGCGCCCCGGCAAGGCCCAGCACGCTGCTGACAGTCACGATGCTGCCGGTGCCGCGCTGCGTCATGTGAGGCAGCACCTGCTTGGTGAGGGACACGGTGCCCAGGAAGTTGAGCTCCATCAAAGCTTGGTACACATCAACGCTTGTGTCCAAGAACAAAGAACGCTGGCTTCGGCCTCCGTTGTTTACCAGGATGTCAATCTGGAAGATGAGTGTACTGTATAGACAACTGGGACAAGGCATCTTTACATCTTAGGGAATTAAATTTAAGCTAATTAGTTCGAAAATTGACAGTGTACTTCATGAGGCTGTTATAAGAGGGTGACCATTTGACTCCGGAAGAGATCATTTTAGCAATGCTTTCCTCTTGGAAAAAAAGGACTGTCGTAGACTTGTGAGATTATAATGAAGCATACTAATGCACGTTTCATTCTGATAAAACAAAAATGGTGGTCCTACATGTCCAAAGTACTCAATTGCAGCTTGGGTTTTGGCCTCATGAGTTGTCCTCTCCAACAAATCCAGCGGAAGAACAAGAATATCCTCATCCTTCAGACTCGAGGACTCTGGAAGTGGACACAAATATGGAATCCAGTGACAAGGACAAAGAATGTATAAAAATCCAACTGAAGTCAAAACAAACCATTAGGGCTGCTGCAGCTATGGAAATATTTTGGTATTTGGATAGCCTTCGGAAAATTCTAATTTTACACACATACCCACACACACACACACACACACAGTATATAAGAATGCTGCAAAAATGCGCATCGTCCTTTACACTTGTCTAACAAACTTCAAGCAAGTACAACAGAAAGTAAAGCTATTAAAAAGTCTATGTCCATCTCCTTTACGTTTGGTTGCACAAGTGAGCAGAGGTTACCTGCCGAATCGTATCGAAGTAAGTGTCATCTCACCTAAGCACTGGCGTTTCACCCTCCTTAGCTCATCCTCAGTGGTCCTACATGTCCAAAGTACTCAATTGCAGCTTGGGTTTTGGCCTCATGAGTTGTCCTCTCCAACAAATCCAGCGGAAGAACAAGAATATCCTCATCCTTCAGACTCGAGGACTCTGGAAGTGGACACAAATATGGAATCCAGTGACAAGGACAAAGAATGTATAAAAATCCAACTGAAGTCAAAACAAACCATTAGGGCTGCTGCAGCTATGGAAATATTTTGGTATTTGGATAGCCTACGGAAAATTCTAATTTTACACACATACCCACACACACACACACACACAGTATATAAGAATGCTGCAAAAATGCGCATCGTCCTTTACACTTGTCTAACAAACTTCAAGCAAGTACAACAGAAAGTAAAGCTATTAAAAAGTCTATGTCCATCTCCTTTACGTTTGGTTGCACAAGTGAGCAGAGGTTACCTGCCGAATCGTATCGAAGTAAGTGTCATCTCACCTAAGCACTGGCGTTTCACCCTCCTTAGCTCATCCTCACGGCGGGCAGATAAAATGAGGCGCGAGCCACACCGAGCCAGCTGGTAGGCCAGCTCCTCTCCGATGCCACTGGATGCTCCGGTGACCCACACCACCTGACCCTTCAACTTCACCTCTGATTTGCCAAAACAAATACAAAAATTCAAGGATTACACCTTTTAGTGGGCACGATGGTGCAAGTGGTTAATACGTCTCACTCAGAGTACGAAGGTTTGTGGTTCGAATCTCTGCTCTGGTCTTTCCTGTGTGTTCATTCTCAAACCGAAGAACCGTGAGGAGAGCGTGCTAACCACTGGAGCCCCCCCAAGCAACATTTCTATAAATTGCACTATCATGCATAGTTTTACGTCGCAGGAGAGCCTAAGGTAAGCAATGACCACATGTGATCACAGGGGGGTTGTGTAAGGATTCATCAAAGCAATTAAGTGCCAAGTTACGCAGTCTACATTTTAAAATGCACACATGCTAACACCCGTCAAACAATGCAACTGTTTGCCTGGTGTCCTCACCTGATTTGCGTCCGAGCAGACTTGCCCACAGCAACGTGAAATCTGCATCGGTGAAAAAGAATGCCAGCAAGTGAATGGATATATAAAGTAATATTAAGTAGTACAGCATAGTTACAACACAGAAATCCATAGCTACAGATGTGCTCGATGTGCAGTTGATAAAGAGCGTTGTTTTAGATGTTCGGTCACTCGGACTGCTTGCAAAATAAGTTTCCAAATCAACCCAGTGGGGGAACTTTGTGTCACTTCCGGTTGGGAACTGTTGTTGCATTCGATGAAGGTGGGAAGTCGTAGTTATTCGATTTCCGAATAGGAAATGTGCACTTGAATGCCCCTTTGAACTAGGCGATACGAGTTGCGAAGTTGGAAAAAAAAGGACCCGGAGGTCACCTACATATTCATATGTGACGTCACTCAACAGTGGCGACGCCATGGAGAAACCGACCGTGAAGAGCAAATACATAATTTACAAGATTAGAAACATTAATTTAGTTGTATTTATTTTCCATTACATTAGTTTAGTTAATCGGAATAACATCACGTTACACCACGTAATTTGTACTGACTGCATGAAGATATGGCGTTATCTCCCTGCATTATTTGGTGAAATGAATTAAATTCTTTGAAAAATATTTATTTTAATCAATTAAAGAAATTATGAAGAAGGTTTGCTGGAGGCCAAAATGTGTTGTCATGATCCAGAACAACAAACAATTAGTCGGAATCAGACATACAGTATTTGTTATTTACATTCGTCTGAAAAGCTTTGAGGTTGGAATTTGGACAATCTGAGTGAACATTGAACGTTGAACATTGGCTCTTGCGAGTCAGTGTGCTAAGTGACTGGGAATGAGTTTTGGCCGAAAGCATCTTGTTTCCTTCATTCCTTTTTCATACAGCATTTTTTGTTCATATCTTTCCCCCTTTTATTATTGCTTTCATATATCTTTGTTTCATTCATTCCATCCATCCATTTTCTAATCCGTTTATCCTCACAAGGGTCGCCGGCATGCTGCAGGCTATCCCAGCTGTCTTCGGGCAGTGCATGTGTGGGTTTTCTCTGGGTTCTCCAGTTTCCCCCCACGTTCCAAAAACATGCATGGCAGGTTGATTGGGCACTCCAAATTGTCCCTAGGTGTGATTGTGAGCGCAAATGGTTGTTTGTCTATGTGTGCCCTTCCTACGTCCTTGTTTCCATCATTCTTTCCGTGCTTCCTCTGTCTTTCTTCTGGTTCATCCCAGAACATCCTATTTCATTCCTTCAGTCCACTTTCCCTACATTCTTATTTCCTGTCTTCCCTCCATACCCCTTTCCTTCCTTTCTTTAATACACCCTCGTTTGCTACCTTGCTTGTATCCTCCTCGTTCATTCAAGCTTCTTTGTGTCATTCACATCTTCTGTGCTTCCAGCCTTTCTTCCTTCTGTTCCTTCTTTCCTTCCGGGGTTCTTCCATTCATCTAAGCACCGTTCCTCTCTCCCTTCCTTCTCTCCTCTCTTCTCCAATTTTAAAAATGTTTTCTGAACCTAGCTTGCATATACAATATGAAATGTAAATAACAGTGTCGGTTGCATTCAAAAATGCCCTGCAATGCATCCGAATCCGGCTGCGCAAATGAGGCTCGCAACCTACGCGCTGAGTGAGCGTGTCTTCGGTGTCCAGGGATGATGTCATGTTTTCGAAGGCAACCTGCAACATCCGGGTCCTCCCCGAGTGCCTCTTCTCACCAACAGCTAACGGTAGCTAGCAAGCTGTCAAGTGGAGAGGCTGGGGCAGACGTTTCAGCTCCCCCCTGGCTTGGCTTCCCAAAGCCTCACGAAAACAAAAACGCTAATCTATTCCTCGCGATCGCCTCCTGAGATAATGTAACGCATCAAGGTCGTACCCAAAGAGAAACCTCCGCTCAAACGCCATTTCTATGCACTGGGTCTTGTGTGACGATTGCTCTTTGCTAGTCGGCTAACCTACCCGAGCCTAAACCCAGTCAAAGCTCACTTTCGTCGCTGGACGTGAGACTTCCCGTCCCGGTGTGAACTCGAGCGTTGGTCACCGCCTCGACGTCTGTTGCTAGTAACCACTATTTTGGACATTCGGTAAGTCATGAAATGACTGTCGTTGAGCCGGTAACTTGAAGACTTGGCTAAAGCTAGTTTCGTTAGCAAGGCCGAGGGGCTCTCCTTGCCTCGCGCTATGGTAGCATACCTTAGCCTAGCACAAGTTAGCTGTGAGGGACAAGGGTCAAGGCCCGCAAGTAAGCGAGGGTGTTTGTTTATTTGCTTCGCGGTCTTAGACGCGCTATTTAGCTTACGTATCTCGTTCATCAAACAACAATTGTTTCACACTCTCAACAGGTTCGCAATTCCAATGAGCGAACCGGAGCATGCACTGTTGGTGGCGCGATATCTGCCCAAATCGTAGTCATCGTTTAACTGGACAGTCTGTTAGTGACGCGAGCCTTAGCTCTGCGTGCTAGTAACGAATGCTTTGACTAGTTTTAAATGGTCTTTCCAACGCCTTGTATTGGTCGCTATGAAGGTCGGTGATATGGTTCGTTGTTTTAATTAAAATGTGCTTCCCAGAGTCGAGCCTTGGCCCCACTTTCCGAGTTGAACCTGGCCAGGCAGCGGTGAAAGGGCGTTTCAATTTAGTCCACACCAACAGTGTACCTAATATGTAGCCAAAATATGTACACAGGCCTTCTATTTTTAGAGCAGAGCATGCTGTTTGAACGCCAAGTTGCTAGTCTATGGAAGCAAATATGTTTGGATATTAAATGAAGTTTTTACACATGTTACTCAATTTAATTCCTTAAACGAAATTCGACATTCACACTGCTGTTTATTTGTGTGTAACACTCCAGATAAGCAACGTTCACACTACAGGTCAACTGCATTTTTTTTTTGTTGCCCATATGTGACATGTATTTGTTGTTGTTTTTTTTAATTCATGCAATGTGAGCAGTCCAATTCAGATTTGAATGTATTTTTTTTATTCAAAGCTGACTCAGGCCTCTATCATATGTGGTTAGAAATCGGGCATGTATCAGATGCGACTGCAGTATGGAGGTTTAGGCTGCGCTCATCCAACCTACTGTATATATTATCAAAAGCCAAATATGTGCTTGGTGCTGGCAGGGGAGACGGGCTTGGCATAGACTACACATGATAGTCTTCTGCAAAGTTCTGTAGCACAAAAGTGTTAGTTTTATGTTTGACTCACCTGAAACATAAATCACACAGTCGGTATTTGTGGTAATTGGAGTAATTCAGGCGCGCAGACGGTTCAGTTGTAAAATGTAACAATGGGTTATGTTATCTAGAGTAGATGTCTCCATGAAATGACATAATCGAGGAACAAATGTCTCATTTCGCCCAAGACACTACCTCATCCAATCTCCCTCCTCTGTCAGTCTCCTCATGTCTTCAGTAGAATTTCTGGGGCTAGGTGCTCTCATGTAAAAAGGGCCTAGGAATTTGTGAATAGAGAAATGAGATGAGGCCTCGCATCCGGACCATGTTTAAGTCAGTTAAGCTTGAGCCACGCAGTGTCATGTTTTGTGTGCATGTGTATGAACGACTAAATAAAAAGATTGGAATTTACAAAAAAAAAATCCAAATTGGGCAACATGTGCTGCAGTGTGAATGTAGCCATAGCCAGATAACACGCATGGAAGGAGCTCGCGGGCACCTCAGTAGTAGTTCGGAATTTTTTTTTTTTTTTTGCTGCCGTAGTACTCAAATTGTGACCCACCAGTTCCAAAGTCCAAGTCTTGACAGATGAGATACTGCTACCTCTGTACACAGTGCTGCTTGATTTAAATATCAAAACACATGCCATATGTCTTTTCACAGGTTTCAAGAGGGACATAATGGGGGCATTTCTGGACAAACCAAAGATGGAAAAATACAATTCCCATGGTGAGGGTAACAGCCTGCGTTTTGGGCTGAGCAGTATGCAGGGCTGGCGGGTAGAAATGGAAGATGCACACACGGCAGTAATTGGCTTGCCTCACGGTCTCGACCCCTGGTCATTTTTTGCTGTTTATGATGGGCATGCCGGCTCTCAGGTGGCCAAGTATTGCTGCGAGCACCTGTTGGAGCACATCACCAGCAACTCAGACTTCCAGAGTGCTCTGCAGGAGGATCCCTCTGTGGAAAGTGTGAAGAACGGCATCCGCACAGGTTTCCTTGAGATCGACGATCACATGCGAACCATCTCAGAGAAAAAGCACGGCGTGGACCGAAGTGGCTCTACTGCGGTTGGCGTGATGATATCACCAAGCCACGTCTACTTTATTAACTGTGGCGACTCGCGAGGACTCCTTAGCCGTGGGGGTGCTGTGCACTTCTTCACGCAGGATCACAAACCCAGTAACCCTCTGGAGAAGGAGAGGATCCTGAATGCCGGTGGCTCAGTCATGATACAGCGAGTTAACGGCTCCCTGGCTGTCTCTCGGGCCCTCGGAGATTTCGACTACAAGTGTGTGCATGGGAAAGGCCCAACAGAGCAGCTCGTCTCTCCCGAGCCTGAAGTTTATGCAATCGAAAGATGCGAAGGGGATGATGAATTTATAATTCTTGCTTGTGATGGCATCTGGGATGTTATGGCCAATGAAGAACTCTGTGACTTTGTCCGGTCACGGCTAGAAGTCACGGATGATCTTGAAAGAGTCAGCAATGAAATTGTTGATACTTGCCTGTACAAGGTATGCCATGTTGACCAAAAAAAAAAAAAATACACCTGTGTGTTCTCGCAGTCAGTCTAACCACTCTGACCTTTTGTGTTTATTTCACAGGGTAGTCGGGACAATATGAGTGTTGTTTTAATCTGTTTTCCTGGTGCTCCAAAAGTTTCTTCAGAAGCAGTAAAACGAGAAGCCGAGTTGGATAAGTATCTGGAGTCAAGAGTAGAAGGTAAACACAAGAAACCAGGAAATGAGAAGGGAAAATGTTGACTCGGGATAAATGTTTCAGTGGATGAAATTAATTTGTGCTCTATTTGAAATGTCACCTCAAATATTGTATCTTTCTATTTACACTCTGGATTGAGTGGAATTAAGGCATGTCTATTACTGTTTGTCCTCAAATAGGGGCCTCAGATCTATCTGAGATGGTGCTTTAGGTATTGCTGAGGAAATGTGCCCTCCTGGTACAATAATACAGCTGTGAACGTTCCCAGTTGTCTTTATAACATATCTCTGAAAAGCTTTTGTCCAAATATCCCGCGGATCATACATTGCAGTATTCTTTACACCTTGTGTTTCTAGCCTGGCTGAAATTAGCCTCTTATGACAGAGCGATTCAGTCTCATGAAATGACCTCCCTCCAAACCATCAAAGCGGTTAGGGGTGGAACTACTTGTTGGGCCCTGCGATGTCCATGCGAGACTCCATTAATGCAGTAAAAGCATCAATTGTATTTTCACTTGTGACAGAACTTCATCACCAAATCCCAGGCAGTGCAACACATGAAAACCACATTGAAGAGAAAAATGAATTGATAAAACAGGACAAACAAACTACACATCAGCATGGTCTCACAGCCAAGCTGCCAGTGGAAACTTGGACAGAAGTAACTTCAGAAGATCTTTTACTCTTGTCACCCTGTCTACGCAAATTTGTCAATGATAAGTGACACAAGGGAACCCACAAACTGAAAACTCTTAACGTACGACACTTAGATATTCCATTCACATTGTAACAAGGAAAAAACAGTTTCATTTAATGAATCAGAAGACATTGTGCCTCCTTCAAATGAACTCCTGCTATGGTAAAGTAAATAAATGGTATTTTACAATAACAAATAAGACAGATTGTTTTGTGTTTTATAACAGGTGGTTTAAATGGATCAAATTAAGATGAGGTTTAATTCTGTCTTTGGGTCTCTGGAGTGGCATTAAAGTGTGAAATTACACGACGACACTCTTGGCAAGCGGCCTAGTTCTCAAAATGCGCCTGTCAGGATTAGATTTTGACCCGACTCTCTGACATTGCATCTGTACAATCATTGGCAAGTTAGTGTAAATTGGCAATACAGTTATAATACCGCATATCATGCACAGCGATAGGTGTTCCCAACACTGTATTTTAATTCAGCGTTATCGCTGTCAATCATAACATACCACACCCATTGTATCAGTAATGCTGTAGCACAATTAAATTATTTTACGACTTACCAGAACAGTTTATTTCTTTTTTTAGAATATGCATTCATTCATTCATTTGTTCGTTCTCTCATCTGCTTACTGTATTTCCTTAATCACACTTCATTGCTGCTCTTTGCTCTTACAGTACTTTGTTTCCTTGTTGGGTTGCAACAAAATTATTAATACTTATCTTAAATCATCCTCCCCTCCCCCCTTTGAAATGAATGCAAATGCCATTAATTCATCCCAACCTTCTTCCCCAAAAAACTAATTTAATCATAAAAATAGCACTTTATAATATTGTACTTTATCAAAACATGGAATAATAACACACTTAAATAGAACATAGAGGAGGAGAATGGGCTTCTACCACTACTGTTGGAAAGATGCTGTAAAGCAAAAACTAAATTGGCAGAGTCTTGAAAAATTCGTATTTCAAAGTGCCACTATAATATTGCTCTGAGAACTGAATATTCCTCATGGGATGAATTTCTAATTAACCTAAACTATCTGTCAACTTTGTGAAAGAGGCTATGTTTGTGTTTTTAAGACGGGACTTCACACTTTTTTTCTTACAGAATGATCTAAATCTTGTGCACACAAGTTAATATTTCTCGCAGTTGGCAGCGCTAGCTGTTTATTAATCAGTCCACTAAATTACACAGTTTGGAACGTCACCAGGCTGAAACAATTTGTTTAGGGGAGTAAATGTCATACCCCCTAAAAAAGTGAATGTCAAATTCTAAATGTTTCCCACGCAGTCCCCACTTGTAAGGGATGGTATCATCTATGCAGTTTGAAGCTGGAATTCACTCAAATGACTAGGCAGCTTTCTTTTTCCTTTAATCACACACAAAAAAAAAAAGCGTACAAACATTAGACTTAATATTCTATATACGATACCATCATGTTTTAAACTCCTGTAATGACAAAGAAGTACACCAAAACGCCACCTAAATAAAAATACATTGTGTGAAACCCAACCTTTTTTCATGAAATCTTAAATTGTAAAATCGGGTGTAATGTCAATTATTTAAGCATATTTATCAAGTATAATTTTTTAAATCTATTTTTAATTTGTTCCTTGAAATTACCCAAATTTACCTATTTAAACATGAGCGCTATTTTAACATGAATTACTGTACTTTAAAATCCGAATCACATTTTACTGGTCAAATCTAATTTCAATGACATTGACACAAATTATGATTTGCTTAGCCTTCAAAACAGTGAAATGCTTGACTAGGAAGTTAAAATCATGCTACAATTCAATTACTGAATTTATCCCACAAAAACCAAGATTTAACAGACCGCACGTAGCTTGGCAACCAACCCGTGGCTAAAGTAGCACAAGCACAAACAATGAATTTGAACTCCAAGAGACTCATCAGCGTTTTACCAACTGCCTTTTTTGTGTTGCAGATGAGTTTGTTTTGCGTACCCTTTGGAGTACTGACAAGAGTGTGAATGTCCTTTTTGTCTGCCCTGCCGCTCTCTGCGATTCAATTTTAATTACTTACACCTGCAACGTGCGACGTTATCTTATAGAGTTCAGGCAACAGCTATGTAGTATTTGTCCTTCCGGTTTGCTCTAGCTCTTTGGCCATTTTTGTAGTTGTTCTGACAACGAAGGAGTAGTTCATTGAGAGACTATTTCTTTTCAAATGTGCGCAACACACATTCAAGTCATTTAAGAGCCCAATAGTCTCGAGCCATCTGTTAGTTTCCATTTGCAAATATTTATGTTTGACCTTCCTCTGTGTCCAGGAGTCTTACTTGTTATTTGTGGGGTTTTTTTCCATCAGACATCCTCAAAAAGCAGGGAGATGAAGGCGTACCAGACTTAGTCCACGTTATGAGGACGTTGGCATCTGAGAGCATCCCCAACCTCCCTCCCGGGGGAGAGCTTGCAAGCAAGTATGTGACCTTTTATACTTGGAATGAACATGAGTGCTGACTCACCATTTACCGTTTTTCAAAAAGTTATCTTTGCTCCTCTCCAGACGAAGTGTTATTGAAGCTGTGTACAACAAACTCAACCCCTACCGAAGTGATGACACAGTAAGTATCCCAGTTTGTCTCTCCAAAAGTCTTTTTACTCATTGAGGCGTTGGCTTTGGTTGAAGTATGCATGCTTTTTGACGTGGGACCGTAAACGTTAACTACCGTTGCGCATGTTAGGTAACACTTTTTTTCCCAAGCACCAAGTAACTGATCTGAAATGTTATCGCAAAAAATATTAACTATGTACAAATGTAGAATATAAAACTCATTTGTTATAATTGCATTCACCGATATGCGAGAAAAAGGTCAATAATCCTTAAAGGGGAAGCCAACCCAAAAATGTTCCTTACAGTAATCGTCTGTTTTTTGAAACTGAGCTAATGATTGGTTGGTACCTGAGCCCTGAGCAACTGTGATGTAATTTTCAGTCCACAGCAGCTGGCAAAATGGCCGCTCAATGAGATGGACAAAAATGTGTTGATTTTACCGCTCACCTCATATTTCCTAAACAAAATATTAATCAGAATACCATGTTTAGACGAGTGGGGCGGCATAGAACATATTGTTGTCAGGAACATTTTTGGGTTGACTTCTCCTTTAAAGCATTTTGAAGAGCAAATAGGTGAATTTCTTTGCACACACAGCATTGGTGCATTACCACCACCTTCAGGCCACCAGCGGTAACGCACCAAAAGTATTTTCCAACCACTAAAAGAAAGTCAGCGTAATTAGGCAACAGGGATTTGGGGTGTCAGTCCAACCTCTAACATTAATATATACAAGTTGCACCTGAGTCAAAGTGGGAGAACCAGCAAAACTATGAAAAAAAGTGTGACTTACTCAGAAAAATACATCTTGACTTTAATTCAGGCTGCAACTGCAGGTGCTATTGCCAGGTTGAGGTATTACACATGAAAATTAAAAAAAATTGAAATGTCTTTTATTAGCAATTATTGTTATAGAATAATGGTTGCATTGCCATTGAACAGTATGGATAAATCGTTTTTTTTTCCTATTATATAATGGGGTACAATAACTGTCCCATGGTAATGTTCTTGATAGCATTTTTGAAATGTGGAAATTCAGGCAAATTGTTCCGGAAGGGAATTTTGGTCAGTTGGCAGCGATAATTGTTCCGGAAGGGAATTTTGGTCAGTTGGCAGCTCTGCACCTGTGCAATCACATTTTGTCAGTTTTTTTGTTGTTGTTTTGCTCCTCTCTCAATAATTTCCTTTTGTTTCAATTGAGCTTTCCAGGTTTTAGTTCCCATGGTGGAAAGGGTTTTTAACTGATTTCTTTTTATTTTCTTTTTTTTTTGTTTTTTTAATCACAAAAGCCAGACCTTTGAACAGGGGCGTGGTCTTGACGATAGCCACTATAACCACATATCTTGACTCAGCACTCCTTTCAGTCAAATATCACACAACCTGTTGATACTTAAATGCATAGCCACATTATATCCAAATGAGATCCAGTTTTTCCCTCAAAATGTTGGTCAATACTGACTGAATTTTAGTCCTATCACGCTTGCTGATCAACGGCAACTATCATGGCCCTGAAACGCGCACTAATTTTGGACGCAGGTATTTACACAATGTCGGAGTCTTTCTGATTTCTTGTTCGTCCACTGACCAGCACTTCATGGTCACCTTTGTTGATTATTCCTCTTTTTTTTCTGATATAATTGTTAATCATAAAAAGACAAGTTAATACTATTTAAGTTTAGGTTTAGTGAAGTCACACTTGTCCGTTCGATGTGCAAAATTTAATTTAAGAAATATTTTTCCTGATATGAGGAATTTGAACGGGTCGATTTTTGAGATTCCCTGTGTTATGTCCATTGAAGAAGTCAAGTTGTATTATCTTTTATAATTCAGACATTGCAAAGATGTCTCTTTGCGCTTATAGCATTTGAATGAATGACACCAATTTCGCTGATTGTATGAATGCCAATATTCAGTGAGGGAATCAAGTCAAAAGTCTGAAAGTCCTTGTTTACCATTTGCAGACTTTGTCTTTATGCTATATTGAGTCTCGCGAGCTGCATACCCTGTGGGTCTGCCTTGTTTACCATTTGCAGACTTTGTCTTTATGCTAAGGGGGTATATTGAGTCTCGCGAGCTGCATACTCTGTGGGTCTTAACCACAAGAAAACACTAAATACCACATTTGGTCATATTGATCGGAGTTGAAGAAAAAGCATACACTCGTATGTGCTGAACTAGACTCAACAAAGTCTACTTTCCTCTCAATTTTCTGTCTTTTTATTTTATTCCAAAGTTCACATACATGTGCCTTCTTCTCATGTTATTCTCTGTTCTGGTTGGTAGAAAAAAACATTTGTGTTCCGTATCACCATGTGGAATCCACATCCACAAATGCTACACGATCACATACTGAAGGGCCATTTCCAAAATCCCATCGAAAGATTTTTCCATCCAAATATATCAAGTTGACTTTCCGTTGGCTGCCTCCTGCATTTTTCTTTTTATATTTTTATTTTTTGGCTGTAGAGAGCAAGTAAATCATTAAAAAGTGCGCTGTTTTTGAACTTTGGTTTTTCATCTAATTTGAGCAAACTGGTCCCTTTGAGGTCCTCAGTCAGTTTGATATTTGAAACAAATGAGGAGTCCAAAGTGCACCAGCAACTTGTAGGTTTTAATTTTCGCAGAGACTTTCAAGGCTTACAACATAAAGCGCCTTGCTGTTTTCTAAAGCGGAGCGGATTGATTGCTTGGCCCTGCCTTGGCTTTAAGAAAACCTTGCAAAAAAATCTCATTTTTGACCGTTCCGGTCTTTGCTTCAATCTCACCACTCCGATCGTGTCATCGTCCTTTTAGAGAAAAAGCTTTGACGGTAGCCAAACGTTTAATGTTGAGTGCAGCAAAAACTTGTAATGTTCCACTCCAGCCCTATATGGCAGTGGTTCCGGATCTTTTTATTTTATTGTATTGCATGTATTTATTTTATCCCCGGAAGCTTTTTGTCATACATTCTCCAAAAGTAGAACATAACACAACTGATGATTGAATGAAATTTTTATTTTGTCCCCTTAATTTTCATGTTTATTTTTCGGGCATTGGATACAAATTAAAATAATGAAAATAAATATGTAATATAATAATAAAAAACAAAATCAAGTTAAATAAGAAAATTGCAATTGTTCCATATAACTCTTAGAACATTTTCCACACAAAGCTGGAACTCATTTGAATAAGTAACAAAACAAATTGTAGTGCACATATACCATTTTATGAATGGGCTGAGAAGATTTACTCACCATCTTGGAAATAAAATAGTTCATGAGTACATGTACCCCATGAAATTTGTCCAAGTACCGTTGGTTGGTAAAATTGTATCCAATTAATCGATCCTAAAAATATTCAATCGTGACATCCCTCAAGAGCTGTATCAAATATTTTGCCTTGACAAAGACAATAGGGAACAGTTTTGGTCGGTGCATATATCATATTGGAGCCTGAACACCACCAAAATACAATGGAACTTCTAAAATGGAACACAATCCGTTCCTAAGGACGGATCAGTGTCGATCAAGTTCCAAAAGCAATTTTCCCATTGGAAAGAATGTCACTTGTCACCACTTGTCGTGCAAGTATAACTGCAATTCAGTAAAACACAAGGCCAACAAACAATGAAGGCACCTTAGCCCTGACAACACCTGGAAGATGATGTGGGTGATTATGGCATGTGTCTCGAAAGGTGATTGTCTTCACGTTAAACTGACTTTGCCGTCTACATTGCATTCATTTTTTAAATTAACAATATTATTGTCATTTTAGGCACATTATACTGAACGACAAGGACAGAAATGTGTGTACTGTTTTCCAACGTGGCCGCGAGTTCCATTCATCGTCATTCATTTAAAAAATAAAAAAAGATAACTGCTGGGACTTCATTACAAAAATAATCTCAGTAATTAGAGGCTTGGTTATTAATCCAAGTTAATTTAATTTCAGGTGAACCTGAATATTTGACTAAGTCATGTTTTTCAATTCGAGTAGCTTTTGCTCAGCGAATAGACATAAACACAACTAAAATGTTAATTTTCCATCAGGCTTCGACGTGCACAAACAAATTAGTGCCATTTTTAACCAAGGGCAATCACTACGATTTCCAGCTACGTTTCCCAGGGCTCCAACTCTTAAATTCAATTAACACGTCTTGAAACATTTGACACAACACAAAGAAGTGTATTGTTAACAACTCTGCCAATTTTGAATGGCAAAAAAATATGTCTACAATGAAGCTTGAAAATCGTCTGAATCTGTTTTGTCTTCTCAGCTCTCAAACACTGTCGGCTTGTCCACTGAAACCACGCCTTCCTCAGTGGTCAATCAAATATCACACGTCTTTCATATGGTTAGAGTGGCCTACATGTCTGAGCCTCAGAAGCTAGCTAGCTAACTCCACGCTGTAAATGGTAGAAGTGGGTCAGGTACCCGCTAATGCGAACAAACGGTCAATGCTGTATCTCCACAATGGAGTACAGTGTTCCTTCACTAATCGGCGTTAATGGGTACCGGGACCTGGCCACGATAAGTGAAAAACCGTGAAGGAGGGTTTGCGCCCCCCTCGGAATTTTTGTGTAAGTATATGTGGGTAGCAGCATGTTTAAAATATATCAACAGTGATTATACTTTACATATTTGAGACAAAGACTACAGCAGTACACGTATTTACTTAAATCTTGAATGATAAAACCTTGTGCAGTAATTAACATTCATCAGCATTGTCTTCTGAGAGAGGCGAAGAGACTTGTTTTGGTGGCGTAGAAGGCAGCTCTCGCGGCATAGCCGCCGTTAGCCTCCAGCTAGCTCCTGGCCAGCTATCCCCGCGAGGTCGACTTGTTTATGATAAGACAATTTATCGGCATTGATGAGGAGGAGGCAAAGAGAGAAGCCCTCTCTCTCTCTCTCTCTCTCTCACTCTCTATCTATCTATCTCTCTCTCCCTCTGTCTCCCCCCCCCCCTCTGCCACGCACATAACAAACAAGAGACAGTATGCCAGAGAGAGGCGGGCAAACGATCAGAGTCAA